GGGGGCCAAGGACATACAAGGAATAAAATTAAAGCATGAAAGAATGGAGAGGGCCTGGGCAGGGAGCTCTGCTCTGAGCCGGGAGGTCAGGGGTGGTCTCTGCAGAAGGAATATCCTGAGCAGAGATGAGAGTGAGGAAGATCCAATCTTCCCCCAGAGTGAGCAGCAGGTGTGAAGGACTGCACACGAAGGGAATCTTTTGTCAATCTTTTGTTGTTTTTTGCAAACACGAATGTGTACCCTCAAAGCTCCCCCAGGAGGAGGTCAGCATGCCAACACCAGGCTCCAGCAAACCCTGGGGAGATCTCCTTCCCACTGCGCCCTGTGACCCTGGATGCTGCTGCAGCTCACTCCGTGGACCCTGCAGCTGATTTCTTCACATTGCTGCCTTGGCCTCTGTGGCTCCCCACTTCCCTCTCCATGCTCACTCGTGGGAGCCCCACCAAGCAAGGGAATTTGGGTTCATCTGCTGCTGCATTCCCAGGGTCTATGTAGGACGGGTGGCAGCATGATACTCCTCAAGATATACGCATTGAATGAACAGACTGAGCTGATGCCACTGCTCTCATTGCTTAAGAGGGAACAAAATGAAAGGAGGCTTGGCTAAAACGAAAATGGCTCAAGAAGAGAGCTGGAAGTCAATTCGTGGTTCTGGTTTTTACCTTGCTCAGCCCTCCGGAGCCCTAAATGTCAAGTCATTCCGCAGCACTCTGGCACCCATTTGTTTTACAAGTCTCCCTCTACTCACATCCCTGCTGAGTATCAGGATGAGGCTGACAAAGGGGAAGTAGTAGTGTTTTTTAGAAAGAAGGAAGGAAATATCATGCAGGAACTGTCCTTTCTGTCCTCCACAAGCTTGAATGACTTGTTTACATGCTATCAACCCTCCTCAGGCTTCTCTGTGTGTTCAGTCCCTTAAACTGCCCTGCCAAGTCTCCTCTGTCAGGCAGGGAGACTGGTCTTTGCAACCTACTTTCATGCAAAAAGAGACATATTTCCTCATTGTGCTACTCCTGCCCTCTGTAGACAGGGGCTGGCTGTTTCCCACATCTGACACTGATTTTCTTTATCCAGGACCAGGGAAGAGTGCAGAGCCAGGCAGAGAAGGCAGGTAGTGGCCACTCCATGCAAGGACCAACACCTGCTGCAGACCTGCGCCTCTGTCTGTGAAGGTTTCCTGGGTTTTCATAAGGCCCAGCACAGGAGGGGGACTTCCTGCTGTAAACTTTATTTCCACAGATTTACCCAGAAATTTTTAAAAAATGGAAATTTCAAATGCTGCTTGTTTTCTCAATGAAAAGAAGATAGTGTTTCTCTCTTTCTCTCTCTCCGTCTCTCTGTCTCTGTATGTATTTAATAGACTTTTAATTTTAAAATACTAGCTAAGGCTTTAAAAAACGACTAACACTGAACCTCCTTTTCAGGGGAAAAAACTGGAAAACTTTCATTACAGGCTTCAGTGGGAGTTTTAATATGTGTGTTGAATTGACAAGAAATCTGAATATTTGCAGTGATCTGTAGCAATATAGGGTAAGTGGTTTCAAGATAAAATTGAATACTTAACATTTAATAACAGTGGAAAAGTTTGGGGTTTATAATAAGAAAAATTCCACACTAAAATTATTAACTCATATTTTCATCCCAGTGCTTAATGAAAAATCAGAAAGGCGGCTTCCTTTATGATTCCCTACGGTCTGCCTTTCTTTTGGCTCAAATATGGCTAGTACATAGCTGAAGAGAAGACTGTTAGCAGTTTGCAGTTGCATTTCAAAGCTGAAGGTCAATACAATTAGCCAACTGTTACATTTAACTCCTCTTCTATACTCCAGCCATATATTTGTGCATGAAAACAATGGATCACATATTGCAACCCTTTATCAGGAATGTTATCCTCATGTTAGAAGTGTAAATGGAGAAATCTACTTTCAGACTGATGAACAGATTATTTGGTTCATTTGTTCAATCATCTATTTATTCGGCAATACTAACGAGGTAGCAACAATGCTTTGGGCACAATTCTAGACGCTAGCCCTCAAAAATGTCTAAAACATTGTGATTTCACTGAGGAGGTACCATTGAAAAATTCAAATAGAAAGTGTTTTCTCCTATGCTTCGATTGTTGAAAAAGATTCTTACATGTATGTATTTTGTTTGGATCCTCTACACTCAAATGTTAAAAATACATGACACCAAAACCAAAGGGAACAAAAGGAAGGAAGACATGTTGGACTTCATGAACTTTAAGACATTTGTATATCGAAGGATACTTTTGAGAAAGAAGAACCTACACATGAGAAGAAGGACTCATAAATCATAAGTTTGTTGAAGATTTAATTACCAGAATATATAAATAATGCCTTTAATTGAAAAATAGTAAGACAATCCAATTGAAAAATGGGCTCATGCCTTGTATGAATACTTCTTCAAAGAAAACATCCACTAGCCAATAACCAGGCAAAAATATGCCCATAGTCACTAGAGAGCTCCAAATCAAAGCTATAATGAGACCTCACTTCAGACCTGGTAGCCTATTGACAGGGAAGTGGCGGCAAGGTATGGAGAAGTTGGTACCCTATCCTTTGCTAGTGAAATATAAAATGCTGCAAGTGGAACTATCCTATGTCCAGCAATTCTACTCAATACATGTCCAAATGAACTGAAAGCAGAAATAGCCATCTTGAGGACTCTTTGTATGCCTTTGTTCACAGTAGCATTACTCACAATACTCAAACACAAACATGATCTGTATGACATCGAGACAAATTTGGAAAAACAAAATGTAGTCGGTTCTCTTTATTTGCAGTGTTACACTCCAGCACGTCATAACAAACCCTGAATCAGTAAATACGGAACCACTCCTCCAAGGAGAAATAAAGGATTAGGGTCCACTGACCACCGGCCACAACACTTTGGCCCACGGATGCACAGATAACCTTCTTTTATGTGTGTGTCTCTGTTCAGATGCCTTCCTTATTCGCATTGTTTATTCAGTGTTGCTGAGTTCATGGCTGGGAGCAGGCTAACTCTGGCCCAAGCATAGCTCCATCTACACATAACTTGTCTGGAAGGCAGTTACAGCTTTCTTGAATTTAGCTACACCAAATGACATTCATTGCCATTTTTGAGGCCATTTTAACCACCAACGAAAAGCATGAACATGCACAAAGAGTAGCACTAAATAGAGGCAAAAGAAAAAAGGTGGGGAGGCTTGCATGCAGTGTGTGAGCTTGTCTTATTTGACCTCTGCTGGCATGTGCACTTGTGGTGACTCAGATTTTGTGCAAATGCTTGTGTCTGAATTGACGGCTACACTGACCAGAGGACAGACTTTGAGGTGACACACAGAAGTAGCCCGTAGGCCAGCTTACAAGCAAGAAAAACATGGAAAATGAAGAGCAACTCTGCATACAAATCACAGAATACAATGCAGCCATGAACAGGGAATGAAACTTGCATACCTGCTACCATATGGAGAAACACCGAAATTATCATACTAAGTGAAAAAAGCTCAATGCAAAGAACAAAAACTTTGTAATTCCACTTCTAGGAGATATCTAGAATGCAGGTAAATTCATAGAGCAGAGTTTATCAGGAGTGGAGGATCACAGTTGAATTGGCTCAGTTTCAATTTGGAATGATGAGAATGTACAGGAGACAGATCACCACATGAATGTTACGAATGCCTGTAAACCGTACACTTAAGAACTAGGGCAAATCATATTATATTTTATGAAAAATGGATAGATTACATGGATCGTATTAAACTTCTGCTGAACCAGATTCAAATGTGGAGGCTCTATGAGTACCAGGAGAGACTTTTTTTGAGAGAGAGATTCTTTTCTATCCACACTCCCTTGCAACAAGAATCCTCGTTAGTATTTTTTTCTTTTGGTTTATAAAACTAGCTTCCTATTAATAATGTATCAGCTGATTACTGAGGAAAACAAGTGAATTAGAATGTGCATGTCAGTTATTTGGCTTTACTTCTGGTTTCTGGTGAAAATTTACACAGTCCTCGAATGGGTCTTTCTGACTGGTTGCCAAGACAGGGACCACCTCGAGATCCAAGTGATGTCATTATTTTTATTCAGGATGAAATTATCTCCGTGGCACACCATGGGGTGGACTTGTGCTCTCAGGCAGATTACTACGGATGGTACTGAGGTATCCTGGCACTGTGTCCCCCTTTTATCACCAACCCATTTGTTATCTGCCTCCCTCTTTCCTGAAGTCCCCATTTTTCTTTTGCTAGAGAAAGCACCATCTGTTAGGATATGGCTTGGTTACTACCATAATTCCAACACTCTCTTTTAAATATTTCTTGACCCAACAATTATAAAGAAGCATCACTGACTATAAATATAAATGAAATCTTCTAATGGGGAACACAGACACTGTTAAAATACAAACTTAACACAGGGGGGAAATTCATAGCCAAAGCGAATTCTATTAAAATTCTTTCAATCTTTTCAAATGCCTCATAAAATAAAAATGTTTCATGACAGAATCACATTTTGGCTTCTTTGGTGACTGAAAAGAAGGATAATTATGATTGTCATCAAAACACATGCAGCAGCTGTATACGGCGAACAAAAGCACCATTATGAAAAGCTCCCAAAAACTATCACTTTCATGCACACACATTTCCTAGAAATTAGATCGTCTTCTCAACTGCGATAGATACCAAAGGAGACTGTTGTCTATTAATCATGGCTTTGTACCAGTTGAGTTTTTAGAGCCACCTGGATTAGTTTGTCTGGGACAATTCCCACATAAAATTAGGCAGGATTTACATATACGCAGATGTGTGCACATTGAAATGTCCTAAAAAGTGATTTTTACCTTCTCAAAAATCAATATAGACTTTTACTCCTGAAAAACATTGATTTCATTAGATTTCTTCACACGTGAACATCTGTTTAGAAATTATTTAATGGGGAAAAAAGTGTAACGAATAATTCTGCGGTTTGTTTTATCGAGGCTAATTAATAGGTACTTACTCATTAAAGACTAGGTCTGGTGCAAAATAGAGAAATTGGCTGTTCGTATGTTTGTACGATCTCCAGCTCAAGGCAAATGATGACAGACACATCCAAGAGTTCTGGATTAGGGTAATTTGGTCCTCAAGAGGCAAGTTTCTAAATCCTGGAGAACAGAACAATTAATCACAGAAATACACTTAGCATTTAAGTACATCCCAGAAAGAAGCTTCTTAAGACAGCCCCAGGTAGCCACTTTTTCCTAATAGATGCAAATCAACCCCAAGGGCATTTATACAGCACTCACTGAGTGCCTGGCCCTGTCCACACCTTCTCTTTAGAGTCACCCTGAACGCTCAATGAGTGTGACTGGCCAAGTGGAACCAACACTGGAGAACTCAGTCAGATCCTGTGAGACGGCAGCCCAAACCCTTGGTCGGACGGAAAGATTTTGTATTACCTTTAAAATGTGTTTCATTCCCTACACAATTCATCACACTTTAAGAGTAAGGTGGTAACTACGGACATCTATATGTCTGGAAAAATTACAAAAGTTCATCCTTTGTGACTTTGTGGTACTTAAAAATATTATCTCTTGTTTTCTATAGTCTGGGAAAACACTAGACATTGATGACTTTGTTATCTTGTTTTGTTTCTGGTATGGTACAAGGGATGGAACCCAAGACTTCATGTATCATAGATTAATTTTTTTGTTTTGTTTTGGTTTTGGTACCAGGGATTGAACTCACAACCTTGTGTTTGCCAGGCAGGTGCTTGTGCCACTGAGCTAAACCCTCAGCCCCTATTCATGTATAGTAGAAAAGTGTTCTTCTGCTGTATTACATCGCCAGCCCTTTTAAAAACTGGTGTGTGTATATGTGTGTGTGTGTTTTAATTTGGATTTTGAGACGTGGTCTAAGTCACTATAGTGACCAGGCTGGCCTCAGCCTCGTAATCCTCCTGTCTCTGCCTTGTGAGTGGCTAGGATTCTAGGCCTGTGCTGCTGTTCCATGCCTGGTAACAACGTCCTATAATAGAGTGGCATCTGTGGCACCAGCTCATTAATCAATCTGAGGGCTTTCTTACTCCTTTCTTGCCCTTTCTGTTCCCAATGCCATGGTGTTATTCTTCCCGCTATAAACTTTTGCCTCAGCCCGTTCACAGGGAAGCATCAGTCTCGGGAGCACTTCTGAATCTTTCGTGTTATGGCTGCTGTCTGACCATAGTTAAGCTAAGAAACTGCTGTGGATTCATCTCAACTGAGACAATGTGATAACACTTGTAGGTGCTGCTTCTATAGATCAGCAGGGCCTTATTAAGAAAATCCTGTATCATAGAAAATGACCAAAAAGTAGGAGTTGCAAAAGCCATTTTAAGGATGCAGGGAATCTGGGACTATTTTGTTTAGACAGAAGAGATGCTGGCATCTCTTTGGACGTCCTCACAAGCCTGGTTTACTTGGCTATGAGCTGCTAATAACGGGCTTCATTGTGTTCAACAGACTGCATGTTACTCTATTAATACTTTTGGGAAAAATTTTTCCCCGTTAGTCACTAACATAAGAAATAACACACTGTAATACTGAACCCCAACTGCCATAAGGAAGGAGTCCATTAATTAGACTTCCTGCTCATGGCATCAATGGATGTGCTTTCAAGGTCTCATACAGGGATGCAGCGAGGGGAATTCCAGGGGCAAAGGACACTGCCAATGTGTCCCCTAAGGGTCCCGATGGCGACACAAGGCGGTCAGCGAGGAGTCCTACCTGGAAGTAGCTTCGCCCACTTCACCACTTGAATCATCTGCTTGCCGGCCAAGCGGTTGAGTGTGGAGAGCAGGTTTTCTGCCGTGTCTGGTTTCGAGCTGTCATAGCCCGCATACACGGGTTCGGGCTCGATGTTCTCCAGAATCATCCCGGAGGATGGGGTGAGGGCGCGAGAGATGGTGGAGAGCTGGGGGACCAGCGCAGTGTTGACCGAGGGCTCCTTGGCGGGCGCAATGTACGTGGTCCCCTCTTCGGGGCTCTGGGGTGGCGGTGGTGGTGGCGGCGGCTGCTGTGAGTGTTCCTCGTGGACGCCTTTCAACTTCCCCAGCTTCTTCGACTTCCGAGCTGCGAACAAACACTCTTGGGTCAGGCACGGGAAGGTTAGCTTTGCAAGTGACTGTGGTGAACACAAGGTACGATCTATGGGATCGACAGGGAATGCTTAAATTAGAAATGATCACAATGCAAGGTCACTGATCTGCCCCCCAGTCCTCCTCCTGGCTTTACAAGCACACAGCCCATGGTTTCTGCCACTTTCTGAAGACATTTTGGAAGTTGTCGCTCAGGGGTGTTCGTGATGCTTGATGTCACGAATCAGCTGGTTAGTTTTGCCTCTAGGGAAGAGCCAGCAGCTACTGGGTGGCTAGGTCTGGTGAATAAACTGGGTGATGACAAAGCTGTGATGTTTTATGAGCTTACTTTTCTGTTAGATGGCACTCAGCAGTGGCAGTCACCATGTTTTTGATCACGCTTCGTAAAAACAACTCCGGAAATCAGACTTCTAGAACTGCTTCAAAAAGCACCAAAATGGTGGGATGAATATGTTCAAAGCCGGAATTAGGGGGAAAGGGTGGGGATCTTGAGGGAAGTCAGTGGTGATGTGTTACTGTCATAATTTTTTAAAATTTAAAAACACACCGTATTTTAATTTTAAGGTAATACTTGTAGATATTAATAAAGGCAATACTCAAAAAACTACTCCTCTGTTACAAATTTTACAACAAAACAGAGAATAACAATAGTGAATACCCTGGATACTTATAATTTTAAAAGAAAGGCCAAATGACACCCAGATTTCAAATCATAAAAAAGACTGTCTTACAAACAGGTAATAACACTATACTTCCTTTTTAAAGAATTAAGAGAAGTTAGAAGTTTAAATGAGACAAATTATGTATCGAAATATTTTTGAAACCAAAGAATGGAGAATATGAGAAGTTACTAGAACTTCTCTTTGTTCCCTACCATTTTCATCTTGTTTTGCTCTTTATTTACAGGTGTATATATTTTGAGTTATATTAGAGAAACCATGAGACATTTAAGCTTGTGTATTTGACTTATTTCTCTTAACATTATGTTTTCAAGTTGCGTCCATCTGTCCACAAATGCCTCAAGTTTACCTTTATGGTAGAGTGGTATTCCATTGGATATACACACATTTTCTTTATCCATTCATGCGGTGATACACATATACATTGCTTCAAAATCTAGCTACTGTAAACTGTGCTGCTATAAACATGGGTATGTAAGTATCCCTATAATATGATGACTAACTCTTTTGGGAAGATATCTAGAAGGGGGATAGCTGGGGTCAAATGGGATTTCTGTTTTTAGCTTTTTGAGGAATTTCCAAATTAATTTCCACAGTGGCTGTACTAGTTTATATTCTCACTGACAAAAGAAGAGTTCCTTTTCCCCCCGACACCCTTGCTAGCATGTTACTAGAGTTTCTGAACACAGCCATTCTTTCTATGGTAAGATGTGTCCTGATGCAGTTATGATTTACATTTCTCTAATAGCCAATGACACTGAACATTTTTCATGCACTTCTGGACCATCTGTACTTGTCCCTCTGAGAAATGTCTTCATTTCATTGCCCATTTTTTGATTGGGTCTTTTACTTTCTGAGTTCTTTATATGCTCTAGATGGTAGTCATCTGTCCAAAGAATGGCTGGGGAAAGGTTTCTTTGCCATTCTGTAGTTTATGTCTTCATGTCATTGATAAGTTTCCTCATCTGTGCAGAAGCTTTTAAATTTGATGCCATCCAATTTGTTATGTCTTGGTATTTTTTCTTTTCCTTTTTTTTTTTTTTTTTTTTTTTGGTACCCAGGATCGAACTCACAACCACGTGCTTGCCAGGCAGGTGCTTATGCTGTTGAGCTAAATCCCTGGTCCTCTATTTTTTGTGCCACTGGAATTCTATCATAAAGTCCTTCCCTACACCTGTGTTGAAGAGTTGTACCTATTAAGTGCTTTTGATTTAAAATTTAGATCTTTGATGAATTATTTCCGTTTAGTACATAGTGATAAAAATGGGTCTAGACTCAGTCTTCTGCCTATCAATACCCAGTTTTTTCCAGCACCATTTATTAAAGAAGCTGTCTTTCTTTCAGCATATGTTTTTGGGCCTTTGTCAAAGATCAAATAGCTGTGTGTGCCTGAGGTTGTTTCTGTTTCTTCTATTCTGCTCCCTGGTCCACAAGCCTGCTATGTATCAGTACCATGCTGTTATATGTATAGTAGCATTGTGATGTAACTTCAAATCTGGGATTGTGATGTTTCCTGCTTTGTTATTCAGGATTGCTTTTGCTACTCTAAGTCTCTTCTGGTTCCACATGAACTTTAGGATTGTTTGCTCTAGATCATTGAGAAATACTGTTGGTATTCTGATTGCTATTGCATTAAATCTACATATCAGTTTTAGAGGATAGCCATTTTGATTACATTGGTTCTGCCTCCTATCTAGAAAAAGGTGACAGTTTTCCATTTGCTGATGTCTTCCTGGATTGCCTCCTTTTCCCAGAGTGATGTGGTTTTCACTACAGAGGTCTTTCACATCCTTGATTAGGTTAATTCTTAAGTATTTGAATTTTTTGATGCTAATGTGAATGGTACTATTTTCTGAATTTTTTTCTCAAACAGTTCATTATTGTGGATAAGAAGATTTGTATGCGTTCATTCTATATCCTGATGTATTGCTTAATTTCATTATTAATTGTAGCAGTTTTTGGTAGAATTTTTGGGGTCTTGTAGCTATAAGTCATGTCATTTGCAAATAATGACACTTTGAATTTATCCTTTTCTGTATGTATCACTTTTATTTCATTCTCTTGTCTAATTGCTCTGGCTAATGGTTCAAGGATGATGTTTAATAGGAGTGGTATAGTGGGCATCCTTGTTTTGTTCTTGATTTTAAAGGGAAAGCTTTCAGTTTTTTCCCATTTAATATGATGTTGGCAGCAGGTTGGCTGAAAATTATTTTTATCAGATTGAGATAAGGCCCTTCTATACCTTCACACCATATTTTTTAAATCAATCCTTGTATGTCAGATAAATTATAATCAGATACTGACTTATACTGGTTAAAGCTTTTTTCTCTAACGCAGTTTGTTATGCCAATAGAAACAATATCTTTCAAATCTTTTTCTAAGAGAAAATGTACAAAGCTCAGTTGTAACTACTTTGGCTATTTGGATAACACATGCTTCATTCTAGAGATCTTCACTGCCTGCTTCTGCATTCAGGAGCTGTCGAGGAGCCCAGCTCCTACCTGCCCTATGATCAAGCGTCACCTTGACCTCAGCGGGGTGTACAGCTTATAGGGGAAGAACTAACAAAGGGATCACAAAACGGCACTGCAGGGCAGAGAGAGATGGGTCCTGTGATGATTGAAAATGAAAATAGCTAAAATGTATTGCACGCTCACAAATACCGGGTACTACTTTAAAGGTCTTACAAAAATTAACCAATTTAACAGTTTTTGATAGGGTAATATGATTCTTACTTCAGACAAATCTGAGACCTGAGAGATGAAATCTGCCTGAGATCACGACGCTGGCGTATATGAAACAGAGGTCACAGGAGGGACAGATCACTGCCTGTCCTAACACAGTGAGAACTGGGCAGGCAGATGGATATGTCGTGTGATGCTTAATGCTGACTATCGATTTGATGGGCTCGAGAGAGGCCCAGGAGACCAGCAAAGTACGCTTATGGGTGTGTCTGGGTGGCTCACGGGATGTGACACGGGGGGCTCTGTCTGTTCTCTTGTCCTCCTGGGGCTTCTCTCCTGCAGCCTCCTTCTAGGCTGCATGTCTTCTTTTCACGTCCCTTCTGCCATGACGTTTCTGCGTTGGAACCAGACACCAAGGAACCTCAGAAAGCATGAGATGAAATAAAACTTTTCTCCTTTATTTCTCATTTGTTTTGCTTTAGAGTACTAGGAACTGAGCCCAAGGCTTTGTACTAAACTGTACCCACCCAACCCCTTTTATATTTTTATTTTTTATCTTGAGATAGGCTCTGAGTAGCTAAGTTGCCTACACAGGGATTGAACTTGTGATCCTAGGGTGCTGGGATTACAGATATGTACCACAATGCCCTTTCTTTACTTGTTTAATTTGTGTATATGGAGTATTCTGCCCCAGCAATGGCAAGCTGACTAATAGAGAAGGATGGATAATTGAGGAGGTGAATAAATGAATGGGTAAAATTAGAAAAATCAAAAGTATCAAATTAAGTTACAGCTATGGTCACAACTTACTCTCCATCATAACGTTTTCACTTTATTCAAAAATTGTGAAATAACCATGCACTTCCACTGATTTCTAACATAGGTCCCAAAATTAACGTAATAGGGTTGCAACAATACCAATTAAATGGATTTAAAAACAATCTCTCACTTTTATAATTTTAGCCTTAATATCACAGAAAAACCTATTATTCAGTAAAAGACAAATGATCTCAAACAACAGATATTTGTTACAATCAATAAATATTTGAACTGGACTTAAAAAAGATGAGTAAGACCTAAGTCTTGTCCTTAAAATTAACAAAAAATTTAAATTTCAATCATTAATTAATAGACTATATCCTTCTATACAAGAAAAAAATTTCCATGAAAAACTATACTAGTCATATACTCTGGTTCAGATAACTTCTCCTAAGCTGATCCATCTGAAAAATGGGAGGTTAATATTGTCAGCTCCTGTCTCAGTTAAAAAGCCAAATACAGGTTGGAAATGATTACTGGTATCCGAAATATTATTTTAATGTCATTTTTATTCTTTTCAAAAGTTCTGTTTTAAAAACACTCTAGTTTATTAAAATGTTCTCATCCTTTACAAGACTACATTTGATGAGAACCATAATTTGATTGACTAGAAACAGCCACGGGTGATATTTTCAAATTTGATTAAAAGTAATATTAGCATGCAGAGTAATTCTAAGACTCATATTCATTTTAGGCCATAGGCCTATCATTCTGTGTTTATTCTCATGGCTGATTTAAGGCTGCTGCTGAGATATATCGTGAAGAATGCTTAATGTCTTCTCTGGTGTATACATGCCATGCTGTTTTCTGTAGCATCATCTATGAAGCAGGTTATTAATACCATATTCACTGTTTCTGTTACATTT